CCTTATTCTTAAGCAATGTTCTCAGCCTTTTCAAACAGTTCCTTTCATTGGAAGAGGCACTAGTGTTTCCAGCCCGACTGCTTCTTCAAATTGTCTCTGTGGTGACACAAATATGCTGCCTATCTTAGGTGGAGTTTTACAGGTATTGGCAGAGCAGTATCAAAACTGCTTCTTTGATTCAGCATTGGTTATACTGGAAAACAAACCACAATTTGACAAAAGCAGATAAGCAAAGATCACCTGGTTAGCAAGTATGTCACATGCCATGAGATTTAATAATAGTGATTATGTGTCATCATGCCAATTCTGACTTAATGGGTTTTCTAGGTAGAGAGTAATTGGAAGTGGTTTACCATTTCCTTTTGAAGATGATCTGGAGCTGTGCAGCTAGCCCAAAGCTACACAGGCTAGCTCCCCCTCCCAAGAGGCCACTGGGGAATCAAACCCTAAGCTCTGGCTACCTAACTCAGTGAGCCATCTAGACAGTGTCCTGAGTGATTTAGTTCACTAGAAAAATTTTGTAGTTAATACACTGCCATTACTCTGCTTTATGTAATGTTTAAAAAATGAATGTGAGAGGAGTGTTGTACATTTTTTTTCTTTCAGTTGATGAAATATTTATAGCTGGTTCTGAATTAGATTCTGTGAGTGTTGTACATTTTTTTTTCTTTCAGTTGATGAAATACAGTATTTATAGCTGGTTCTGAATTAGATTCTGCTTTTATTTCCATTACCATCACTAATACTATGGTATGGCCTGAGCCATGGAAGTGGTGAATCTGTCTGGGTTTTAGTCTGCACATTAAAGAAGCTATTTGAGGTGCTGTGGGGCCACTAGACCCCTCCATTAAGGGACCATTTCCTTCTTTTTGTGTTCTGACTTCATCTGGTGAATTGGAGGAAGAAATTATGATACATTTCTTCTGAGGCTTATTTGCAACTGTGCCTCCCCACCCCAGTCATGGAGTTTCCCATCTCAGAAACTGGATGAGCTGCTGCTGGTGAACAAGAATGACGGAAGCTGATGGTGGATAATTGAATGCTGATGATTGGCAATGGTGGGGAGAGAAGGTTTTCTAAACAGCAAGCTGGGCTGCTCTGCATACAGATAGGAATGAAGTCTGCTTTTGGTTGTACCTCATTATGGAAGAATGCATTGGAGACAGGCAGACATTGGGGCAGAAGGGAAGGAAAAAGTAATTGTGTATTTACTCACACAAAATGGCTAAAAGACGACAAATGCTTAGTGGTTACAAGCAGGTCATAATCAGGAAGGGGGTTGGCTATAGCCAAATGATTGTAAAAGCACTTAGAAAAATATTAGTAAGAAAATCCATTTTTAAAGTATGTTCTGATTAGCCTATATTCTTAAATTATTTCATCCAAAGATGAAGGCTTTCCACATCTTCTGTCGTATGGAGTTTACCGAGTGCTTTTCAAATGTTGTTTGTCCTCACTACTACGTATTTGAGTTGCTTTTACATTAGCAGCAAGGCCTGTGCCAAGGAATTAAAATGGAAATTTGTCATAGCGTGTGATATAGTGCTGTATTATCTAGCAGTGCCCTTTGCTGTGGCCAAGACCCTTTTCAAATGTCTTTTTCAGCAAGGACTCCTGCCAGCTCTGTTTCTCTTATTGCTTTTTGTTGATGGCGATGGTGGCATTGGGATTAATGTTGAGTTGCCTGCTGGTGGCCCTTTAAATTAGCCTCGCTTTTCCTGGGCAAACCTGCCAAAGATTGCTGGTAGCAATAAGGAGACAGCAATCATGCTGTCTCCTTATTACTCTTTTCATTCCTGATCATCAGGAAGGAAAAGAGTAAGAGGTTAAAATCTCCTCTCTTAGTGGCCCTGATGAAAACAATTAGCAAGAATCTGGAAACATTAGTCTTGGATGCTTTGGACCACCAGGGAAGAATAATTAAATCCTCCTGCAATGATCCTGATTAAGATTGTTGACCCTGTGCTACTAATTTGTCACTGTTGTGCGCTGCCAAGTTGTGTCCACCTTATAGCAACCCTTACAGAGTTTTTAAGGTATGTAAGATATACAAGGAATTGTTTTACCACTGCCCCCCTCCTCCCTGAGTTTCCATGGCTGAGCAGGGATTTGAACCCAGGTCCCATGAGCCCTTGTCTGACACTCTGTCCACTACACCACACTGCCTTTCATTCTGCTGCTAACAGTGCTGAAACACCAGTCTGTTACTCTCCATTTATTTAATGGCTCATTAACTGCATAAAGGAAAAAAGTATATAAAGCTTTAATATTTACCTTTGCCGTGGAAGCTCAAGAAGGAGCTTGAGCTTCTCCATGTTCAACACTAGGAAAATTTTATTTCCTTGCAGCCTCAGTGTGTTCGTGACAGAGAATTTTTGCACCTTTCACAACAATTCACATGCGCAGGGGGGGGAGATCACCTAGTAAAATACTGAGGGAACAGAGCAATGCTATGTGGATCAAAAACAACACGGTCATGTTTTGCCTGCTGAAGTTTTGTTGAGTTGGTTCCAAACTTGCAGAGCCATTGCTACCTTTTATGCATCTTATTGGTTTCACGATGCAGAAAGATATGGGAGGCCCATTAGGTTCGTATTTCTATGGCAACACGTGCCTACTTCCACAACCATAAGCATCAATTATACATAAGGTATAACTGACACCAGCATTCTGTACCAAAGAACAAAGCAGGTAGAAGAAAGGTGTGTGTACTGTTCTGGCAGCAATGCTCTGGCTTTTTCAATGATTCAGAGTGACAGAAGAATTCACATTAACTTGGAAGTGTGAAATTGGATTGGAATTGAATCTATGTCCCTCATATCATTTGTCACAGAACATCCGTTTCCTCCCAGCCTTCAGACCTTGTTGCTGCTGAGAGTTGGTTCAGATCTCATTCCAACCTTGAGAGTGACAGCTCTTCATCAAATGTCAAGCATTTAAGTGGTTAGCAATTAATGTAAAATGGAAGTAGATGTAAGTTTTCTCCTGAGCAGATTTGTTTCCAAGGTTGATTTAGGCATCAGTTTGTAATATATTAAGTGCTTTCTTAAACCTCACTGGCATAAGGAGAAAATAAACTGAGCAGGCATGAAGGAAGCATCAAATTACTAAATCCTGATTATGATATAAGGTTGAGATCTTGATCATTTGCATTATCATGGTGAGTTTTATGATGAACACCCCAGTTCTATCGGTAGATGTAGATAGAACTGCATAGAATTGAAGGCAAGTGATAAATTTTGTTATGTGCTATTTAGAGCATGGAACCAACTAAAAATGAAATTACTCTCCGAAATGATAGCTCCAGGCACTCCAAGAACCTCTTAGGCTGCCGAGCTGGCTGGGGGATTCTGCCACAACAATGCTATCCCTTTGGAAGGTGGCTGTTGCTGGTCACCCCATTTAATAGCACTCGCAAAACATCTTGGGACAACTTGCAGTTTGGCAGTGCCACAAGAAATAAGAGTAATTAGCATTTATGTTGCACACTTAAATGGTTCACATTGGCCATCATTTATAAATACTTCACTCTGCAAAGCAAGGCAATAGTTTTGTGCCCATTTTACAGATTTGATGGGGTATACAGGATGAGAAGAAAGTGGATTACATAAAGGGGCAATAAATCTGTGATTGGAATGAGATTTGAACCAGCTGGATAGTCTGCTTTGTATTCTTTTTTTATAACAGCTCTCTAATTAATTAATATTGCATATTGAACAAACACAGTTGCTTGTTTATGTGTAAAGGCTCTTAGGATCAGCTGGTAAGCACTGCCATGTCTGTTCTTCCTTGAGTGGTCAGTATTTTGGGAGATTGGTTAGCAGGTCAAGGATGAAAGTTGTTTTCACTAGTCTGAGATTCACTTTTTGATTCTCCTAACTTCCCTGTGTTGCAGTGGAAAGAGCCTGATAATGCTTAGGTTAAGGCAGGGTGAAAGTTTTATACCCCAGAAATCAGATTTTCTAACAAATGCCTGAGGACCATAACATAAAAGAAAGCAAACTTATTGGCAAACTTTGTGAAATGAGGAGTGCTCTTATTGTGGTAATCATATGCTCTCAGCAGTTAAGGAATTTCTTCTTCTAATGAAAGATTATTCTATGTGGAATAGATATCTATCTAGAATACAGTAACTAAATAGAATAATATCTATATTGAATAGCTTGGTCCTTAAACGTCTATTCTGTACCTTTCCTGGAACCAGAATATGGCCAAAGCATTTGGAGAATTGTATATAGAATACAGTAACTAAATAGAATAATACAGTATCTATATAGAATAGCTTGGTCCTTAAACATCTATTCTGTACCTTTCCTGGATCCAGAATATGGCCAAAGCATTTGGAGAATTCAGGAAGCCACATGATCTACTTTCATGACAATGTTCACCTTAGAATCCCATCCCTCAAACCCATCTGCTTCACTTTCCTGGGCCAGCAGCAGCAAGCAATGGCAGTTGCACATATGGTTGGAGGCAGGCTTTCCTGTCCAGCTAAAATTGCTTTGTGTTTCACAACCCCTAAGTGTAATTCTTCACTAGACTCTAGGAATGGCAAGATGGACAAGATCTATCAGTGTTCTTAGTATCTACTCAGAAGTGAGCCCCATTTTGTTGCTAAAATTGCTTTGTGCTTCACAACCCCTAAGTGTAATCCTTCACTAGACTCTAGGAATGGCAAGAAGGACAAGATCTGGTATCTACTCAGAAGTGAGCCCCATTTTGTTCAACTAGTTTAGTCATAGGTAGGTGTATGTAAGATTGCAATCTTAATTACTTGAGTTTATGAAACATTTCGATATTGCTGTGTGGAATTTTAATCTTTCCTAGAAATACAGAATGATTTTCAGTGACATCTTCCTTTTCTTTTCTTGGATATAATTCTAAATCCTTTAAAATGAACAAGTTAATCATATATTTAAGTTTCATGTTTTATTAGCTTGCATAAGCATGTTTTCTTTCTGCAGTACAGAGGCTCACAGGCAGCATTTTCATTTAGTGGAGTCTTGCAGATTTGTAGGAAGTCCCTCACTTGTCTTCTGTTTTTTTTCAGAATGTCAGTTAACTACAAAGAGATGAAACAAGAAAAAATGAAAGTCTATGAATCAATACTATGCAAGCTTAAAGCTGGATCTTCCTAATCTGCCACATGAAAAAAAGGTGATATCAATAACTAAAAGCTGCTTGGAATAAATCAGATTACCATAGCAATGCTGGTGTGAGATCTGCATATCATGGAAGGAAGCACCCACCGTCTTTGTAGCATGATTGATCGTCCTCTTTCATTAGACTATTCCAGTTATGATATACGAAGCACAAGATTTTGTTAATTAAATTTTAGAAGAGCTTGGCTCACATTTTTGAATATCTCTCTCCAGTTATGGATGCATAAGTAATCTGAATATTTTTCTGTGCATAGTCAAAGGTTGTTAGTTATTCAACATGATACTAAGGTCAGTTTCATTTCCTCATACCTGTGTTTTTTACAAGGGTTGAAGTGTAATAGTCTCACTGTTTCAATGTGATTGAGTTTCATGATCACACAGCCTCATCCATGTACATAAACTCTGATGTACTCCTACAGTATATATGTATTTCTACAGTACCTATGTAGTATTATGCAGTATATAAAAGTGACTCAAAACTTGATGAAAATTGATATAATATTATGGTCTTTTAACAAATCTGTGATGGTGTGCCTGCGTGTGCCCAAACGGTGATCTGAATATGGGGCTCTTGAACCTCAGTCCATCACCTTAGTTACTACCTCACACAAGAAAAGTACGGAAAGCCAGAAAAAATGGAGCCATTGCACTATCAATGTAAACTCACAGATTACCTTGCTTTTATGGCGATACAAGTTTCTAATTGTGTTCAGATTTTTTTAAATTTCTGGAAACATGTGATTATTCTTTGAGAAGGGTGTGGAAGCTATGACTCTCCAGCTGTGAAAAAAGGTTGTCAATCTTATCTTCAGTGGCAGAGTGGTAAATTTGGAAACGTAGGCAGTCATCATTACAGACCTCAGCCTTCAGCTTAGACCTCTTCTTAGGAAGGAGGCACTTTCAAGCAGCTGGAACAAACTACAGTACAGTATATCAAGACATGAATTCTGGTTGTTTTCATTTCCATCAGGAGCAGGCTTTTTGGGGGGTATGTGTGTGTAAAATTAATGACTCTGGCTATTCAAACCAATTGGGAGTCATTAATTTTAACCAAATTATTCTCAAATATGTTGCATCACAACAGAGATACCGTGCAATCGTGTATTGTTTGTTTCTGAGAAAATCCATTGCTGCTCAGACTTCCATGAAGACTGCAGATGAGCTCAGAGAGAAGACTCCTCTCTCTCTCTCTCTCTCTCTCTGTGTGTGTGTGTGTGTTGATGCTGTCATATCCCAGCAGTCCTTCAGCCCTTGCTTTCCTCCACCCCCAGTCTACTGCAAACAGATACAATCAGTTTGAGTTGACTTTTCCCCTTTTCTGTAGCTTGTTCAATTTCCCTCTCTTTTTGCGATAGTAACCAAGGTAATCAAAATATGAGCTCCCTTTTTTTGTACTGAAATATACCTATGTATATCTCCTTTTGAACATCAAAATGACTCTCCCCCCCCCCCATTGATTTTCCTTCATCAATACATTACTACTGTCCTGTATGTTCTGGAGAAGCAAAGTGTGGGGAAGTAACTTTATAGATAACCAGCATTCCACAGCAAGAGAGGCCAGTGGTTGTGGATTCTGGGTATTGTAATCCAAACAAATCACTTTTCCAAACTTAATTTGCAAACTGAAAATGCAGTCGGGTTGAGCTTTCTGTAGTCTGTGAACAATGCTGATAGGAGAAGGGTTTCCGATTTATGGTCTTCGGTACAAACCTGAGTATGAAAGTGAGGCTATTCCAAGAAACTTCATACAGAGGGGATCTCCCAAAGTGAAAGAGAAGTGGATTTTGAGGTTCCTATATATTACCGTTCTGAGTATCTGGTAACATCTCTGCTAGGAGTTCCTTCAGGACATCTTGGTATTTTTCCAGCTGTTTGGACTTCAGATGTATTCCGATTTCTACAGGAGCAATCAGCTGTGAAAGAAAGCATGGTTAACAAGCGAGGAAAACCCACATTATAACTACATTCTGCATCATAGACACTGAAGGGGAAGGAATCATTAGTATTGGACCATTTGTTATTGCTAAAAGGGATTTCCTAATTCAGTATTTTAGCCTTTGATGGTATGACCTGTAGCATACGTATAAGTTGCTTTTTGAAAGGGCAGTTGCAGAAGTCAGTGGCAGTTGTTTCTAATCTTGACATCCTGACCATTTATCAACTCTCTGAAAGCGTACGGCTGCGATCCACTATGCCGTGATGCATGCAAATAGTGGCCCAAATCAATGGAACAATGGAGTGGATGGTGACTGATTCAAAAGTCTTAAATTAAAATAAGGGAAGAGTTTTCAGAGACACTTGCATTTAGTTCCCATGATTCAGAGAGCTCCACAGAGTGCCATGCCTGAGCAATGAGACTTGCAAATGTCCTTCTGGTGACTAATCCCAAAACAAAGCAAGCCAAACTACAAAACAAGGGGATGAGAAGGCTCATGTAATGGCCCCTTTGCAGTGTGTAAGTAGTTCCTCCTCTTAACAATATGCTCTCTGGATCTTACAATCTGACCTTAAGTTTCATGATTCCTGAGTGTTTCCACAGGCATTCAGCTGGATGGCACAAAAATAGAAGGTCCCTGATGTGGTGATTTTTGGGAGTCTTGAAAGGACTCTCATGCCTTGAGAGTGGATTTTAGATTCCTGGACAGGCTTACTTTATGACACTAAAATTTACTTTATGACACTACTTGGGTTTAGTGATAGGGGGCAGCATCTTTGCTATTAAAACCATCCCCCAGCTAGCTTGTTCATTGGCTGTGCTGGCTGGTAGTTTCTAGGAGTTCAGCCCCCCAAAAGTAATGCTATTCTATTTGTTAGGAACCAGGAGCATAGGAGCAGGTTGGTGCACTGGACAAAAATTTGGCAATGAACTCAAGCCCTGTGTGCCACATTTTGTAGCTTTTTCATAGATGGTCTCTTCTATGTGGACTCTTAGCAAAACAATGAACGCTTTTGATGCTGCAAAGATGAAACGTAGAACCAACAAAAGATTTTTACATTATAGATTTGGTGCCAAGATTGCAAGCAGTCACTATATTGGTAGGCGGGTAAGAACAGTTCCTATGGCAGGTTTTAATGCACACACATATCTACAGCTGTCAAAGCCAGTTTAACTACTTAAATTAGCCCATTTAGTAAGAGAGATTGGTTGACTATTTGTTCTAACACAGTACATGTATCAACATTTTCTGCTGTATACAATACGCAACTGCAAGAGGGATCATTATTTGTACATAGACATCGACGAAGAGTCTACAGAAAAATGAATGCCATTGAATGTGCTTGGGGAAATCTATGCATAGCATTACACCAAATATATATACACAGGGCATGTATTTTTAGGCAGCCATGCCATTATCCAGGAGATTGCACTGAGCCCCCATCCTCTCCCTCTCAATAGCCAGTCATCATTTTGTGGTAACAGTCATCATGAGCTCTTCCGAGGGCTTTCCTCCTCTTTTTTTAAAAAAGATATTTCTTTTCTCTTTTTTTTTTTTGGGTGGGAGGCTTCTATGGGGTTTCCTGTTGATATCTCCCTCTTGTATATATTTAGGAGAATTTTGGTTATATTAGCCATGGCATTCACATCTGAACATGAGAAAAGAACAGGATGTTTTTAATGATGAAGTAGGATTTCTAAGACTCCTGAGACAGTCACCTCATGTTTCATTTAGAATGTTTAGTGACATTTTATGGGAACAAGTGGATTTTGCCTGTGTCATTAGTTTAGCCTAATGAACTCTTCATTGTTATCGTCTGACTCAAATGGGAATTGAACTTCATATGAATATATAAATTTGAAACCGGATATGAATGCTCATATCTGATAGTGATTCTTGGCAAGCTCTCATTCAGCTGTAGTAAATTCCAGTTTCAGTAATGTGATAATCCACTGTAACATTATTCATACCATGCAGATACTTTCCTCTGCGAAGTCCTTTGGAGGTCTGATACAGGTTGGAAAAATTACTGCTTTCGACCGTGACTCCCAGAATCCTGCAGCCAGCATGTTGCTGGCCATGCTGGCTGGCTAGGAGATTCTGAAAATTGTAATCTGAAGAATATCTTATTGGGCAAGCAAGGCATCAAATGGCTGAGCAAGGAATCGTGTTGCGGTGGGAGTGGGGAGAATAACAGAGTCTCAAGGGAACATGGAGATCATTCAGTCAAACTCTGTGCTCTGCACAAGCCATGCAATATAGGGCACAGGTACAAAATGCTTTGTAGAAAGCCTCTTTCTAAATATCCCCAGCAAAGATGAACCCACCATCTCTTTCACTGCTTTAAATAGCCCTCACGGTACAGAGGTTTTTCCTAATGTTCAGCTGAAGTCTGCTTCTCTGCAGCTTCTCTCTCCGCTTAACTTGCAGAAGTGTGACTCTTTTTTTCTGTGAGAGCAACAGCTCAACCCACAGGGAATTAAAAGAAGCTTGGCTTTTCACCACTAGTTTATACACAGGTCAGTCTCAGTCTTGGACTGTTGTGCCAACAGGTGAGTTGCTGTCATGTGCCCCATCTTCTTTATATCCATAATTCACAGCATCACTTACCTTCATGAACTCTCCTTCATCTTCTGAAAGCTCAGAAAACTCTCTCATATCTGATCTCTGCTGCACACTTAAGGCTTTCTTCTGAGCTTGGTTCCTTTCTCTCTCCTAAAGTAATGCGACAAGAAAATGCCATATTTAGGCTAGGAAGTTTGCATGGCAAAGCTGACTTTTCAAATGTGAAGATAACACCTCTCATAAATTTTACTTCAGCAAAATCTGGTCAAAAATACTCTTTGCAGCTATATCCCATGCATTATTTACTCAGTAAGCGCCGCTGATTTTACTGCAACTTATTTTGCAGTGCATAAGATTGCAGCTTTAGTTGTATTTCATTTTTCAGCTATGAGCATAAGTTATCAGGAAAGGCTTTACCTATGCTTGAACACTTCTAAAAATTTAATTGCCTTAGATTCTATGGTCTGTTTTAATAGATTGTTTCATCTTAATTGAATAGCAGATCCAATGGTGAGGACCTAAAGGCTGAATATAGTTCAGGGTAGGAAATATTTGATTATCCAGCTGTTTTACACATCAGAATCCCCAACCAAAGGTATGGGATTATGGTAGATACAGTTCAAAACACCCAGAAGACCTCATGTCCATTACCCTTATGAATAGGTTGTAGAGGCTGCAAATCCCCTTATTTATTTGTTTATTTATTTATTTATTTATTCAACTTGTGTGCCACACCAATTAATGATAAACATTACTCTGGGTGGTTTACATCTGGGTGGAGTAAACAAAGTAAATCAAATTATAAATATAGTGAAATACATACAGGACATATAATCAATACAACAATAAAAATATTGAGATAATTGCAGGGTAGTGGAAAAGAAAAGTTTGGTGTAGTTGCAACGCTCAAGTGTTTGCTTGGAGTTCTTGCAAAATGAAGCAGCCAGACCAGGCCCAGGAATTTGCAGGTTTTTCAATCTCTCCTGTTTTAGGTGTTGGGCTCCTAGCTTATCTTCAAGATGGTTTTGCCTTAGGTATGACAGCATGTAGCAGTAAGAATAAATTGTTTTTATATGTCAAAAGGCTAAAGTGAATATTTCAAGCAAGAAATTAAGTTCTTCTTTCTGAATCTGGCACGCTGCCTGCGTACTTTTAGCAATTTATGCCTAAAGGAGCCATTATTCTCTTCTCTGTTTTGAGTTAATTTGGTGACTCACATGGGTGCATTTATAGGATAGCCTTTTTGAGGGTGAACACAGGACTTCTACAGGCCTCACTGAAGTAAGCAAGCATTGTACTTCAGGACAGTTTTAAGGCCAGAATGCAAATTAATGTCAAGAATTACACTAAAAATAGTCTGAATATTCCAACCCCAATTGCTGTTCACAAGAGCGTTGCCCCTAACAAGAGATAAATGAAATGAAAATACAGAGAAACTGAATTATTTGGCTGTGAGGTTCTAGTTTCCTAGGCTTTAACAATAATAATTATGTGCTATCAAGTCAATTCTGACTTACAGCAAACCTTTCCAAGTTTTTTTTTTTGGAGGGGGGGTATAAACTATTCGGAAGTCATTTACCATTCCCTTCTTCTTGGAGCAGCTTGCCCAAGGGTACACAGGCTGGCTTTCCTTGTGGGAGGCACAGTGGGGATTCAAACCCCCACCCCCTTATATAACTCCCTGAACTATCCAGTGAGTTTAGGGAGATGCAAATATAGTAGCAGAATCATGAGCAGATAAAACTTCTCTGTATCCTCCCCTTTCTGACTTAGTATTCTTTCTTAGGGTGCAGCGACACACCAGGAAAAAAAATGAATGGTTCCTCTGTGAAGTTCCACCTGGGGAGTCAGTTTTCCTTGGTTGAATTCACTTTGGCTGGGCACATGCACATCAGAAGAGAGCAGGCAAGCAGGACACTGGCAATCAACCTTGTCCGCAGCTTGTTAACAGTCCTCTACTGTAGTTCTAAGGCACAGTTTCTGCTGCAAAGAAGCTGACTGCCAATTTCCTCCTCACTCTCTGATTTGATCTTCTACGTGTCCTAGTGCACTTGTGCTGTCACCTAGTATTTTTTTTCTTTTAAGTGGGAGAATGTTGTGCGCCCCCAGTTTGTGTAGACTTTGCAGCTTACATATGATAGCACCTGGTTTACTTAGAATACAGTAGATGAAAACAGGAATGTGCCAAAACATCCATTTCTTTTACTCCAAATGGCTGTGCACCACCTGCTTGTGTGCCAGGGGCTGCACAGATGATTGGAGTGCCTCTTTTGTCCCAAAGAACAGGACAGAGCAACTTGGGAGGTAAGGAGAGTTTGGATTGAAATGCATGCAGTGGGTCAGTAGCTGGCTGTCCTGCATCATGGCACTCTGTGAAATTCCATCCTTGGAGATAATGCTGAGTGAGACTTAAATTATCATTGCAAAGTTTGTTCTCCCATGTATTCTAAAAACTTTCTGAGCGTCATGGACTGGGAGGATGAGGTGGCCTTGGGAAAAGCAAATTTAGAGATGGAACGTGGAAATGAGGAATTTTTGGTGTTTTTTTTTTATGTACCAGAGTTGGCACCAAGGTTTGGGGTGCTCAATGGAGGGGAACTGACATCCTGGCAGGTAACTGCTGTAGTGATCATACTGTCTGGTGCAACGCAAATCCATTTGATTGGGAAAAAAAGAGAAAGAAGCCTCAGTGATGGAGGAAAAAAATGTGACTTCAGCCTGATTTGCATTGACTTTCGGATGAATGTGGCCAATGGATTAAAATACCAATCTGACTGTCCCAATCTGGGAGCATTTTACAGTACATATTATTTGCTAATATAGTCGCCCACTTGTACTGAAGTAGACCATAGGTCCATTTAGCTCATTTGTATCTTCATTGGGCAGCATCCACTCTTTGAGTTTTCAGAGAGAAGGGTTTTCCTAGGAGATGTCAGGGGTTGGCTTGAGGACTTTTTGTAAGCAAAATTTGTACTTTTTTGTTGTTTCTCGGAGGCTAACCTGCATTCTTCTGAAGTCTTCCCAACTGTAGAGGGCGGTGTACCCTTCACTCTGTTCAGCCAGCATGGCTACCATATACAGGAGCAGGAGAGCTGCCACCACTTTCCTTCGAACCATCCTGAAGCATGAAAGGAAATTAAACAAACAAACAAGCCTGGATGGTAAAGTTAACATGAAATTGTCAACAGACTAGCCAGACAACACAATTTAGTGGTTGTTGTGGGTTTTTCGGGCTCTTTGGCCGTGTTCTGAAGGTTGTTCTTCCTGCTAGGGGGTCGCACGGCCAAAGAGCCCGAAAAACCCACAACAACCATTAGATCCCAGCCGTGAAAGCCTTCGCGAGCACAATTTAGCTTTTCAGACATGTGTAACTTGTTACAAATGTGTATAGCTGTTTCCTCACTATGGTACTGCATAGGACAGAAATGTTATAAGTCACAGTTAAGACTTAGGAACAATCTATGACCAGTGGAATGGGATCATGGCTTGCTCATTGCTGGCTATAAACAAACTCCCATAGAAGTTGTAACACTGGACTACAACATAGTGGATTTGGGATGTTGCTGCATTTTGCTCTCGTATAGAATTCCCATCACTCTGTAGTTCACCTCTATCCAGAGAACTGCAGCCCATACAGAGAACTTGGAAAAGTTAGTGTTGTGAACTACAGTTCCCAGGATTTCCCTGCCAGCATGGCCATCTTGGCTGAAGGTTCTGGTTTACAAACTCCATTCTCATTTATGAGGCTGACAACATGTTCTGTTAATAGTGCCATACAACAATGTTTAAAAACCCAACCTTGTGGGTTCTTGGTTGGGTAACTTTGGTCTTTGGTGTCTGAAATAACAACTGACATCATTTGGAGCTCTACTCTAAAAAGAATTCAAGGTCCAGTGCCCTTTCCTTACCACTATTCCTATTACATATAGTTGTTCTGACTACTTAGTACCTGGAATATGAATGACCACTGAGAAGAGAAAGGTCATATTGTGTGGGTGGGTATGTTGGGAAGGGGAAGATGTCGTTCCAAATACACCTTGCTTCACTGCATTCCTGCTTGAGTATTTCAGTTCCAGGAACCAAGATCTTAAGTAATATTATGCTCATTCCAAACACTATGCAGTTTTGACTGTAAACTGTGTATGTATCAATGTTTCTAGCTGACTAGCTGAATAACTAATGCCTTCTTATTAATCATCAGCCATCATATCATAATTTGATCTATTTTCAGGATGCTTTTTATGTTTTAATAGGCAACCCGTTCCCTAATTTAGCTTTTAGAACCAATGAAACAAAAAGAATTTTTTCAATATGTTGAGGACCGGCATTGATCTTCCAACACACATTTTTTCTTTCTTTCTGAGCATTGGGGTAAAAGACTCTCTAACGTGATAGTAAAATTAAGGAGTTACAAGAACTGGTTCCTTTGAGCCACTGGTTTTCTAACATTCTCTGTCCTCCTTTTTTCTTAAGGGACACCTTTTTACATACTTTGTTGAGGAATCCCTGCTTCTCCCGTCTGCAGCCTCATCAAAGGAATTCTGGAGAGACGCTCAACAGGGTCCTTCCTACAGCTTGGAAATTTAATTTTTTAGAGTACAAGCTCTGAGTAGACATGATAATAGGGAGAAGCAGTCTTTAAAAAGTAACTTTTCAAAACTCTGCTCTTTCACTGCTTGTGAGATACCATATCAGTCCTTAAGTGTTTTCTGTTGCCTACTAAAATTGCACTGCTTGGTAGAACATGCAAGAATTTCCTTCTCATTCAAGGAAAGACGTAATGATGGAAACACTGCCATTCAGAGAAACTGGTCTCTGCCATTACTTCATTTGATTTTTGTAGCAAGGGGCCCCTGATAGTTTCTGAGGAATAACAAAGACTGGTTTGAAAACAGCAATTCTGGGTTACAAAAAATTGCACATATTTAAGGTCAGGAAAAAAAGGTGAGACAGAACTAGTGACTGGAAGAGGGGGATTCTTAAATAATTACAACCCAAAATGCTCTCACATCTGGGACTATGCTAACTACCTTTCACAAACATGGAAGAGCTACCTCAGTCCCTTCTCTCCAACCAGTGTACTTTCAGCTCTACTTGTGAGCTATCTCTAGGGTCTGATTCTAGTCAGAGTTAGTTTACATGGAGAATCAAATGGCGGTTTGACTATCTTCAGGTTTGCATGCGTTGTTGTTTGCCTCCATCTTTTTCCCCCCTGCTTCAATCCCACTACCTCCAGGTTGTGTCCAACCAGTTTGTCATCACACTGAACCCAGCTCATTATCTTTTGTGCTTGCTTTGCAAACCAGATGTGGAGTCTTATTTCAAACATGACTTCCAGTTCTTCAATGTATAAGCACAAGGTTGTTTTCCCACAGTTTGGAGAGACAAACGATAGCTTACCAAAGCAATTTGATCTATCCAGAACCAGAAAACCGGGTAGATCAAGATGAGGAGGAAGGTGAAAATGCATATTTGTGTTATATTGTGTTGAGCTAACACTGGGGTTTAGAGGCCTCAGCTGTGTTTTCTTCTCTAACTAGCAGACTGCACTCTATTCCTTCAGCTGATATAAAAGTGAAGGGGTCTTCTTAGATTCCTTTTCTTATGGTTGAGCAGCACTACTGGCTTGTTACAGAGAAGTCATTTACTTCATTTGTAACCCAGTCTCCAGGGGTTTAAATGGCTTCTCAGTGTTGCCAGCGTCAATGCTCTCATAAATACAGTGCATAGCTATGTTTCAGAAATCTAAGTATTTAAGTAGGGGAATATGTGTGTGGGCTTTGCATTTTTCTTTTTCTTTCTTAGCATTTACCCCCTGATGAGGAAAATCTGTTAACTGGTAGTAAAGCAATCTGCTTTACAGTTATTATTTTTAGTATTTTTCTCTCCCCCGCCCCCTTATGTTTCACCAATGTTGGTGGTTGGAATAAAAAACAGATAGTTATGTCACAATTGCTAATCTTATAAGAGACCTATTAAGCTCATCAGATCAATTCCTGTTGGTGTGCTGAGATTTTTTAAATGAGCTTTGATCAGCTGAAAAGAGCTGAGAACACGGTTTGTCACTGCTGCTTTATGGGAACCCAATTTTAAGGGACTGCTGTAACTGGTTTTTTATCTTAAATGGACAACAATATCACATCACAAGGAGAATTTATGTAAACATTCAAGAGCCTTTTTAATTATTAAATGCTCTTTTTAAACAGATTAATGAAGCATGGTCTAAGTGCTTAGAAGCTTTGCTTATTTTTATCCTGAGACGTAATTAATTTTTTTAAAAAAAGGCTTTCAGTGTTAGTTAAGTATTGCTCTTGGGTCAGATTCTGTTCCAAACCATGTCTTTATGTACTAATAAAATTGGACAGAATTTGAAACCAATATTGCATGGCACCTAAAACTAATTCTACCGGCACATTTATAGCCCAAATGTATTGCAGCATGGAAGATGCAAAAGAACTGGGCATGGTGTCTGTCATTTGGACTAATTCAGTGAGCTTGATGATGTTTCTGTGGGAATTCTTTATTTGGGTGGCTGCATTAATTTAAGAACATTAATTTAATTAATCTAAAACTGATAAGCACCAAATGTAATCTGGTTACCTTGATACCACACTCATGCCACAGGAATGTTGAAGAATTTTCCAGGCAGTGCATGCCGTTGTAATGTGAGTTTTTCAAAAAATGTTCCATTGTGTTCTGCTTATTGTTTTGGCTGTATACAAGAGCATAAAGCTATGAAGTTTCTAGTAATGAAATGAAGACTGCTGTTCTATCCAGAATTGTCGCTTATCTAGAGATCATTAATCCAAATCATGAGATCAACAAAGAAGCATGCTATCATGTAAGATAAGTACTTTAGCAACTGACATTATACCTCATGTGGCTCTTGTTGTTTTCTGAGACCCAGACATAAAAGGTGTAAGAAAAACCAAAATAAAAGTAACTTAAAGATTTGCAGAGATGGCTGGAGAACTTAGTGCTTTAAGTATCTGGCTGTGGAGCCAGAGTCTGGGAGTTCTGTACCTCACTGTGCTTCCTGCAAGTAGAATCTTTTTCAGCCTCAAAACCAAAATCAATTACAGAGTAGTTTGCAGGCAATGCTCTTGGACATTTGAAATGGAACATGGATCCAAAGGGCAAAAGGAGGGGATGAAAAAGTGCCATCATTGTTTAGCTTAAATGTTTTTGTATTTCTGGGAATGAAGCCTTCAGAGAACACTTAACCTTTTCATAACAATAATGTCAGTTCCAACTTATGGTGATCCTTTTCAGCATCCCCTAGGTATACAGTACCCAGAACCCATTTGCCATATCGTTCTCCTGGGGGGAGCCCTGGGAATGAGCAATTTGCCCAAGGCCACATAAGTTGGCTCTTCTTCTGGGAGGCATGGTGTGAAATCCAACTCCCAACTTCTGGTTGTACAAGATACTCAATAAATTGAGCTATCAGAGGAAAAACTGGACCCAAGGTAGGAAACCACTAAATGATGGTGTTATGGAAGAGACATAGCCCTTTGGGGAATGCCAAATAAAATGCTCCATCTGCATGATCTAAAATGGCCAGATTTGACCTTAGGGCCCAAGATTCCCTTTCCCTGAGTCAGATCTTAACTGGACATCCTATCTAGAAATAGGACAAGAAAACTTTGTCCAATCTTTGCTCCAACTGACTGAAAGGGACAGACAGGGCCTGTCCTCCCACCCTGCAGACTGGAGTTTACCCAACAGCTGCTCTTTGTGGTGGTGGTGGTGTGTGTGTCTGTCTGTGTGAGGGAGGGAGTGACAATGGACTTAAAAATAAGTCTCAACTAGCACAGGAGGTTTGAGTCACAATTACTCTGATTGTCTTCCTTTGTACCTCCCCCAAAATATATTAGGTTGTCATCTGTTATTTGTATCATTTTGGAGCTTGGAAACATTATTCTTTTTAAAAGAATTAAATGGCCTATGTTGTAGCAATACTCTTATATTTCTGTCTCCAGGAAGTCTTCTGAAGACCAGAAAAGAAATGGTGTAAATCATGCTGTTGGAAAAAAAAAATACTGTACAACATAGTTGCCAAGGCCTGTTCTCTTGTCCCTAGTTTGAGTGAGAAAATAGGTATTCTTAATTTAGAAG